TGCGGCGGCGCGGCGCCCAGGATGCCCCGCAGCCCCGGGACGCGCATCAAACCCGCCAAGTACATCCCGGTGGCCACGGCCGCCGCGCTGTTGGTCGGCTCCAGCACCCTGTTCTTCGTGTTCACGTGAGTCCATCGCGTCGACGGGATTGCAGGGGGTTACAGCCTGGCCAGAAGGGGTAGGGACTAGGTACAGAGACTGGGTACAGCCGGGTGGGACTAGGGGCAGCGGCCGGTGGGCTGGGTAGGGCTGGCACCAGGGCTGTGGGCAACGTGAGTTCCCATCCTGAGACTCAGCTGAGGCTGAAGCCGTGAGTGTGCCTATCCTGGGGCACCATGGAGAGGTGAGTCCTGTGTGTGGGGACACTAGTGCCTTGTGGGTACCTAATGAGTGTGCCAGGCAGGCCCTGGGTGTGAGGCACTGGGCCTGGACAGGAGAGTGTGTGCAGTGGCTGCCCAGGGTGTGGCTGCAGCCCTCCCGTTCCCACAGGCTGCTGGAGGAGACATGAGCTGCCCAGAGCCACTAGCCCTCTCTGCAAGTTGCCAGAGGGAGGCTCTTGTGTCCCCTCCTGGCTGTAGTCCAAGTTGTTCCCCGCGTAGGTGTGGCCTGGCCAGTCTGCCACGTGCCTGCCCCACAGCCCCCAGAGACGCTGGCCTGGCAGTTACCCTCCACTCTTCCATGACCTCCTCTGGAAGGCCCAGTGATCACAGCTAGAGGGCCCAGGCCAGGCCACACCCAGGGACACTGGCCATGATGGGCAGTGAGACCCTTGAGGCAGAAAGCAGGCAAGATCTTGGATCCTGCAGCCTTAGCTTCTTCACCTGAGACACAGGCTAGCTCACCATTCAGAGTGGCAGGCTGACTACACAGCTCCATGATCATGGGGGTCCCCCAGGGCTCCTGGCATTAGTCATGTGGGTATGTGACCACCCCCTTCTACAAGTCCCAGGCTAAGATACCATCCAGATGACTAGAGCAAGGATCACTCAAACCTTACTGGGGACCTGAGGCCTCAGGGGTGGCTGAAGCCAGCTGGGCTTCTGGGTCAGCTGCTGAGTGTGAGTGAGCCTGGAGCAGGGTGGGCAGGGGCTGATTTGGCACCCTTTCACATTAATAAGAGCAAGGGTGGCTGCTGAGTGGATGGTGAGTGTGCACTGGGTGCCTGTGGAGGTGGGAGAGCACCCTACCTGGACTTCAGGGCCTGATAGGTGCCACAGGCTGCCAAGAGTGTGTTTAAAAAGGCCTGTGTGGATGGGCTTATTTCTGGCTTTGGTGAGCAGGCATGTTTTTGTCACTCAGATGCTGCTGGCTGTGGGGCAGAGAAGAGAGAGGCAGACAGGCAGCAGGCACAGGAAGAGGGGGAAGGCATCCTGCTGGGTCTTCTGGAGGGGTGGGGCCCAGCGCAGTCCTGGCTCTGGGGCCAGAGTGGGGTGCTTGGGGAGTTTTGGCCTCTACTTGCTCGTCTCAGTTTCTTACTCCTTAAATGCAATTCACTGTTTTTCCTCCTGACTTTAAAAGTAATAAAGGTTTTCTATCAAGAATTTGTCAAATGCAGGAAAAAATAACATAAAAAGAAATTGAAATTGACCCCACCCCAGAGGGCCCGTCCATCTCCTCTCCTCCTGGGCTCACCTGGCTGTGCTATAGCATTTAGGTGAGCTCTTTCCGGTGATTTCAGAGGGCCCTTACTGGGCTATCCTGTGAACTTGACCTGCCCCCAAGCGGTTGACTCTGAGGCTACCGCACCCTGTTGAGTGCCGGATCTTCCTTAATCTGTTCTTACAGCTGGGGGTCTGGGTTCAGGGACCTCAATGCTGGGAGGTGCAGGGTTCCCTTGGGGCGCCACAGACCTTGCCTGCATCCCGGAGCCCTTGTGTGGCCCAGGAGAAGGTGCTGTGTGTGTCCTTGTGGCAGGATAGGGGCCCAGGGTCACTAGCCAGGGTCTAGGTGCAGTGACCATTTAGCCAAGGGAGCCTTGCTTATTCCCCCGCAGTTTGGCCCCAAAGCCACATTCCTTGGGCTGAAGGGACCCTGGTCTGCCCCTGCCCTGGCTGCTGGGTTCCTAGAAGGGGCTGTGTGGGACGGGCCAGGCCCATTCATGCCAGCACAATGTACCGATTCTGGACAAGGAGGGGTCCAGGCAGTCCCTTTCTTGGAACTGTCCTCTTGTCATCCCAGTACTCAAGCTTCTGCCCCGTTTCTGGGCCAGGCCTTCTGCAGACTCAGACCTGTGCTGGGAGGGAGCGGCAACTCCTGTGCCCTCCTCCCGCCTTCAGGCCCACAGCTTTCTATCTTCTTTGCCTTTGTTTCTTGAACTTCATTGGCCCCCTCTCTGCACTCAGTAAACATGAATTGCCCTCTTGGGGGCAGGTCCACATAAGAAGCAACTCCTGGTATCATGCAGGATAGGGAGCCAGGGGCCTAGAGGACCAAAGACCCCTCCCTTGGACCAGCTCATTGAGGGTGCTGGGACCAGCAGGACATTCAGACGTGTTGCCAGGAGACTCTGGGGCGTGGGAAGGATGCCAAGAGGTGGGGGCATCCACCCTCTGAGAATGGGGTGTACACTGCAGGGCAGGTTCCCAGCAGTCCTCCTCCTCTAGGGTTCTTGGGGCGGTTGTGTTCTCCTGGGACCCAGAAGCCCTTCATACTGGCTCAGCGCCAAGCTGGGTCAGGCACTGGGGAAAAGACGTGGTTCAAGGGTCCCCAGGTCAAGCCTCTGCCTCTGCTCCTCCTTACTCTTTACAAAGCCACTTTGCAGAAGGACAAGGACCCTGTGAACATCAGAGAGCTGGCTGCATGGCAGAATACAACACTTAGGGCTGAGCCGGGCTGGGCTGTCTTGTCTCTGTCTGGGGCCAGTGGCCTGACTTCTGGGATGTTGGGCTGTTTCTCAGGATAGGCCTGAACCCTCCCCATGCTCAGAGGCTCAATCAGGAAACAAGGCTCAGCCTGGGACATTGGGAGGCCCAGCCAGTGGTGGGCCCAGGTAGACAGAGGTGCTGGCAGGGGCTGCATGGGAAGGTGGGAGAACTTGGTGTGAGCCCCCTCCAAGAACTCACTGCATGTGGCCTGGGGTAAACCCTGGCCCCCTGAGCCTCAGTTTTTCCCTTTGCTCAGAAGTCTATATGGTCAGATGGGTGGGTACACGTGGCCAGAGGCCCTGCCGGGCCTGATCAGGGCAGAATGGCCTCAGACCCTCTGGTCCTGGGTGCCTCTGTATGTGAGCACAAATGGTGTTAATGAAGAACCTAATTTAAGTGAAAATGTCTGAGTTAAAATTTTCCATTCCACATTTAGTTGTGGTGCGTGTGCTGCCCCTGCAGAACCCCTCACCCTCTGTGGGTAGTATCTCTCTGTCTGCCCAGGTGAGACTCAGGGCCTTGACACAGGTGGGGCCCAGGTAGTAGCATGTGACCCTGATGCTTGAGGGGCAGGGGCTGGCCAGGGTGTAGGGCTGGGAGCCTTAGCTGAGCCACCCTGCCCCAGGCCTGCCCTGGCCCAAAACATGGCTGTTGCCAGCAAGCAGTGGCTGCCACTGCACAGTGGGGCAAGCCTGTAGTGCAACATCTCCTGGGTGGAAGCAGAGTATCATTCCTGTGGGCTAAGGGGTCTTCCTGGAGCCTAGGAGGGACTCAAGGTAGACTGAGCAGTGCTGTCTGCCCTGCCTAAAGCTTGCATGTTCTCACTCATCTTCACACTTGCCCTGTCCACAGGGAGCAGAGGGGAGCCCAGAGAGATAGAAGGGTGGTGTGAAGTGGCTGAGTCTGGGATGGACGGGGCTGGGGTCAGTGGGAGGAGGGTCATATTTGCATGTCTGTGTTGTGTTCAGATTTCCATACAACTGTGTTTGTGCGAGCGTGCTTTTATAGTCATGTGTTTGCGTGTTCATGTAGGTGTACCAGTGTGTGCAAAAGTGTGCATATCTCTACATGCAGATGTTTGTACATGTATGTCTTGCATGTTGGTACAGGTTTGTGTGTGTTCATGCACACATGCCTTCTATGTGTGATTGTGCACATGTGTCTGTGTACATGCTTGTACAGTGCGCACACATGTATCCACACGTGTGTCTTAGACAGAACTTGTTTGTGTGTCTGTGCACATGCTTATATGGGCTTTTTCATGTTTTCCCCTTTAGTTCACATGTTTCCCCAGGTGGCTGAGTTCCAGGCCTTGGCAACGTTGGCCAGTGAGCCATTCCTCTTAGGCATGACCTGGGTCTGAGTCCCCCTTATGGCATGGCCTGGTGGTGAAGGCCACCTGGGGGAGGGTGGGGGGACAGGAATGCATGTAGTATCTGATCCTGGGTCTGAGTTAAGCCTGGGTGGCTGGAGATGGTGAGCGGAAGGGGCAGTGGCTCAGGTCCTAGTCTGAGGTCCTGCATCCCTCCTGAGCCTGCCCAACACCAGCTAAGACCCTGCCCTCCCCTCCCCAGGTATGCATGGCCCAGGCATGTGGGTAGCTCATGCCCACGCTGGACAGAGGCTGACCCACCACCTCAATCCAAGCACTGCTCCGTCACAGTGCAGATTTCCAAGCACACAGCTGCTGCCTCCCCAGCCCCAGGCATCTCACCCATGTTCAGTTCACGTAGCCTGGGGGTTCATCAAGGCTCAGAGGGGACAAAGCAGTACAGGCTGCCCAGGCCAGCAGGAGTTCTGGTCAGTGTGGGGGTGGGGGCTGCCTGTGGGGTTCAGTCCCTGCCAGCCTATGTAATGGTTCAACTCCTAGCTCAGATGCAGACTCACCCCAAGACCTTGGGTGTGTGTCAAACCTTCTATCTGCTCTTTGTCTGTAAGATGGGGAGGGCAGAAAGGGCCCCCAACATTGTGTAGGGCAGGTGAGTAGCGGGCCCTGCTTATTCACCAGCGAAACCTGGACAGAATGGTGGGCGGGGCCCACACTCTCGTCTCCCCCTGTGTGTCCTCCTATCTTCAGTGCCCACCTGCTTGTTGCACCCCATGTCTGTGCATCTCTCTGTCCTTAGCCGGCCCCAGTGCACCCTAGGTCTCCTCGGCCTCTTCCTTTTCCAGAACAGGGTGCCTCCACCGGCCCTTGAACTGCGCAGGTGCATTAGGGCCTGAGTTTGCTTTAATGCTCTCCTGTCACTGTCTTAAAATTCTTCATATTGTTTAAATAAGTGGTCTGCATTTTGCACAGATTATGTGGCCAGCCCTTCCCAGAAGACACCATGGGGAGCTGGTTTGTACTGCTTGAGAGGGGTCTGAGGTGCCCTACCTCTCCCTGGGTCCTGGGTGTGCCTGGAAAGCCTGTCCCCACTAGCATTTGGGCCTGTGCCTCCACCCCTGCCTTGTTGGGCAAACCATGACTCGGGCCTACTGTCACCTTGCTGAATGGGATTGAATTAGGGGCCACAGACACATATTAAGCACTGTCGGTATGCCAGGCTTCAGCACGCAGGGATGGGGAGCATGGAAGGCACCCACTGGTGGATATTCCAGGCCATCTGGGGTGGCAGAGGAAGACCCTCCTAACAGAGGGAACCCTGTCCTCAGGCCATGAATTCACCTCCAAGGCGGGTCCTGGAGAAGAGGAAGGGGTAACTCGGGCTCTGGGCACCAAGCGTGCTGCCGTGGGAAGGGAATCTTTAAATAGCCTCTTGCTTTCCACTAAAAATAGCAAAGTTCTGCTGCCATGGAGGTGGTTGCTGGGGTGGCAGGGATGGCTCCCGGCCAAGGCAGGCGTGGGTGCGCCAGTGTAGCTAGCCTGTGCTGGGTGACGGGCAGGACCTGGGGTACTGCTTACCCTGCTGGTGTCCATAATGTCCTGCCTCATGGTCAGGGCTGCTGTGGGAGATCCCCACCGGCCCCCCCAACTCCACGGTGTACCTCAGTACTGGGAAGGGAGCAAACACCCTGAATGCCCCTGCTTGTCACAGACATGTGCGAGTTGGGGAACCTGAGGTTAGAGGTGCTTTGTGGGAGCCAAGCAGATGGACTCAGGGACCTGTCACAGGGTCAGGGCAGGGGACTGTAGGCCCTGTGCTAGTGGGTCTTTACAGAGGGGGCTCTGTTCAGATCCCTGGAGGGCTGAGGATGAAACTCTCTGTGGCGGAGCACCCAGGGAGGTCTGTGTGACTCTTACCAGGTGCCAGGAGTCTGGAAAGCCTTCCTGGGAAAGAGGTGTGCAGCCAAGTGCTGAGGAGTAGTGAGAGATGGCGAAGGGGTGGGGGCGTCATGCTTTTCTAGAGTCTCCAACTGTTCTGCACTGCCATGTGGAGAGCAAGGTGACCAACTAAAAAGAGGGGGCCGCCTGCCTAGGTGGGGATGTGCTCAGTGGCCAGGAGGAGGGGTGCCGCCCACTCTGCATTTACTTACTGAGAATTGAGGCTCCTCACAACCCAGAATTTCCATGTTTAGGGAGCCCCACTGGGTTGAGAATAGGTCTGGGTGAGGACTGGGAGTGGCCCAAGCTGCCTGGTGGGTCACTGGCCTCTGTCTATCATGGCATGTGTTAGAATGGGCTCATTTTCCTCCTGGGCTCCTGGCTCCATTCTGTCCCCCCAACATAGGTAAGCCCAGGGAAGATGCCGGGTGGGGTGGAGGACATGAGTGGGCTCTGGCCACCCCTCCTCAATGGTGCCATCCCAGGCCTATGGGCCTCTCTGAGCCTCAGTTTGCTCAACTGTGAGTTGAATTCCCAGCTGCCACCTGGGGGCTTGCTGGGGTCAGAGTTGGCACATGGTGTCCGAGCACTGTGAACTAAGCGCACAGTGCTTAGTTCACAAAGCACTGTGGCTGAGCAAAGGAGCAGCAGGCCGATGGGCAGGGGGTCTCCCAGAGGGCCCATGGCAGCAGTGGCCTTGCTAACTGCCATGCTGAGTACTGATGGTGGCCTTGAAGCCCTGCACATGCATGAACATGCCTAATTCCTCTGCTCCCGAGTCCCCTCCTCACCCACCCACCGCACCATCAAACCCAGCTGTGCTCTGCTATCCAACACAGGTGCCCATGGTTGACACGAGCTGTGTCCCCAGCTGTTCCCGTATACAATGGCATCATCTTCCTCTTTGTGCTGGCCAACTTCAGCATGGCTACCTTCATGGACCCTGGCATCTTCCCCCGAGGTAGGGCCCTGTACTGGGGCAGATCATCTGCTCACTTTTGCTAGAGTGTGAGTGGCTAACACGGGAGAGTCTTGGGTGGTGGGGTCCTGGTGGGTGGGCTGGCAGAGATCAGTTAGGAGTTTTTCTGCCCGCAAAGTCACTTTCCTTCTGCCCTCCTTGGTCCTGGCCCACAGCGGATGAGGACGAGGATAAGGAGGATGATTTCCGGGCCCCGCTGTACAAGAATGTGGATGTGCGGGGCATCCAGGTCCGTATGAAGTGGTGTGCCACCTGCCACTTCTACCGCCCGCCGCGCTGCTCCCACTGCAGTGTCTGCGACAACTGTGTAGAGGTGACTGCCCCACCACCCCATCCACCCTACTTCCCCTTGTGTCCCTGCCCCACCCTGCCTGCCGTGTGCCCTGATGCGTTGCTCCTGCCCAGGACTTTGACCACCACTGCCCCTGGGTCAACAACTGCATCGGACGCCGCAACTACCGCTACTTCTTCCTGTTCCTGCTGTCGCTCAGTGCGCACATGGTGGGCGTCGTCGCCTTCGGCCTGGTCTACGTGCTGAACCATGCTGAGGGACTGGGAGCTGCCCACACCACCATCACGTATCCTTGGCCAGACCACAGAGGCCTTGTGGGCTGGGGCACATTTCACAGGGGAAACCAAGGTTCAGAGGGGCAGGTCAGCTACCTGGGAATCCCCACAGGGTGGGTTGCTCTCCCTGGGTGGGTAATTTGTCCACAGGCACCTGTTCCATGTCTTCACCCACAGCCATTGGCCTTAACGGGCCAGCATGGCTGTCATGTGTGTGGCTGGCCTCTTCTTCATCCCTGTCATCGGCCTTACCGGTTTCCACGTGGTGCTGGTCACTCGGGGGCGCACTACCAATGAACAGGTGCAGACCCTGGGTAGGGCCACACAGTGATGAGGATGAGGTGTCCTTGGTTCTGAGAGGGCCAAGGCTTCCCAGGGCCCTGTGTGTGTGTGTTGGGGGGGGGGGCAGGGGGTCAGAGCAGGGCTACAGGGACCCTCAGCCAAGGTAGCCTGTGAAACTGTGGTGGGGGAGGCTCTGGTTCTGGATACCCCAGTGGGGCTTGGGGTGTGGGGCTGTGCCACTACAGCCACCAGTGACTCAAGGCCCAGACATTCCACAGCTCCCTGCAGGGACAGGCTGGGGTGACCTGGGTGGGGGTACCCCTGGGCTGACCTTACCTAACCCATCTGGAATGCCAGCTGTCTCTGCCTGTCCCTCTGCCCACCTTGGCCTAGACCCTGGGTGGTCAGGCTGGCTGAAGGGTCTTGTGTCCACAGGTGACAGGGAAGTTCCGTGGGGGCGTGAACCCCTTCACTCGAGGCTGCTATGGGAATGTGGAGCATGTGCTGTGTAGCCCCCTGGCTCCTCGGTGAGGCCTGGGTGGGTTGTTGAGGGGGCCTCTGCTGGGTTCTGGGTGGGCAGCTGTGGATCCTAACCCTGGTCCACTTCTGCCCTTGGCAGGTGGGGCTGGCCCTGCCCTTGAAGTCTGTGTTCAGGCTGGGTTGCCCTGGCCACTGACCTCTCTGACTCTGATGCAGGTATGTAGTGGAGCCACCTCGGCTGCCACTTGCTGCTCGCCTGAAGCCGCCCTTCCTTCGACCTGAGCTCCTGGAGAGAGCTGCCCCACTCAAGGTCAAGCTTAGTGACAACGGACTAAAGGCCAGCCTGGGCCGTAGCAAGGTGGGGGCCCCGGGGTGGGTAGGGGATGGGGTGTCAGACCCTTGGAGGTGGGAAACAGCTAAGTTGGAGGGGCGTAGAGAACTGGAAGGGGGGATTGGGTGGATTCTGAGGAAGGGTCTAGGTCCCAGGGCCCTAGGAAGGAGTCTCCAGTTAAGCCTTGCCCCTGGCCTGCACCCTATCCACCACTGACCATGCCCCATCCCAGTCCAAGGGCAACCTGGACCAGCTGGATGAGAAGCCACTGGACCTGGGGCCACCGCTGCCCCCCAAGGTGGAGGCTGGCACGTTCAGCAGTGACCGGCAGACCCCACGCCCGGGCAGTGCTGGTGAGGTGGGGCCAGCCAAATGGGGGAGGGACATGGGCTGACCCCAGCCTGACCATGGTCCATCTCCCTCAGAGAGCGCCTTGTCAGCACAGAGGACCAGCCCCCCAACACCCGCCATGTATAAGTTCCGGCCCACCTTTACCACGGGTCCCAAGGCGCCCTTCTGTGGGCCAGGCGAGAAGGTGAGGAAGCCTGGCCCCGCCCCAGAGACCCCACCCCCAGAGGCCTCACTGGGTTATAGAGGGTGCCAGCAGGACCCCACCCTGCAGGGACCCCAGCTGAGGGTGGTGGAGGGGAGCAGGGCAGCGTGCCCAGGGAGAGGCTGGCACAGGCAATTCAGGCCTCTTCTCCCTTGGTCAGCACTGCCCGCTGGCCCAGTAGGCGGCTGCCCCCAGGAGTAGTGTGTGCCCGGATGCCTGGAATTCCACCATTAGTCACTCCATAAGGCCCATGGGAAGGCTTTAGAAGAATCCGAGATTGTTTGAGAAAGCGCATTTATTTCCCTGAGTTGTATAAGCACTCTACGCTCACTGTGAAACAATCAGAAGCCCTGGACAGCCTCATGAATTCCCAGGGATTCCCCATGTGTGCCCGGGCTGCCAACCCTCCTTCATGGCCACCCAAGAGGCAGCCCTGTGGCTGGACCAGCACACCTAGACCAGCCCCCCAACTCCCACCCCAGAAAGCCCCTCCCGTCAGAACCAATGCCATGCCTGACCCTGCTTGGGGCCCACTGGTCTGGGCAGTGAATCTGAGCCTCCCTGGCCAGTGTCCAGTGGCTCTTAGAGGTAAGAGGACAAGGCTTTGGGTACCTTGGCCCAGTCACCTCCTTCCTGGGATTTTCCTGGATCCCATGGAGGATCTGGGGTTTGTCAAGTGCCCTGAGGCCACGTTTCCCCAGCCATGCTCCCTCTGGGTTTTGAGGCTCTTGTCTCCAGCCCAAGCCTGTACGCCTCAAATCATGGAGACTCAAAGAGGCCCCTCTTCCCTATCATGGTGACTGTCCCCTAGGCTGGATGGGCTCCATGGATACTGCTCTGGGTGTCTGCAGCAGCCGGCTATGGCCTTGTAGCACCCTGACCCACAGGGGTGGGGTACCTGGGAGAGGGCCTGGTCACTGTGTGGTTATTATGTCTCCTCAAGGTTCAGCTCCCGAGGCTGCCCCTCTGCCCTGCCCCCCGCCGGGAGTATGAGCTAGAGCATACCCTTCCTGAGGAGACACTGTTCGGGTGCCACTGCTCTGTTCTACCCTGCCCCCACTTCCTTTTGTGGTAGACAAGGAACAGGTGGTGTGGTCAGGGTATAGAGAACTTCTGGGGACAGCTTGTTGGTTACACCTGCCACTACCTTGATGGCACCAGGACTGTGGCCTCCATGTGGGCACAGAGCACCTGGTGGCTGGGTAGGGCGTGGTGGGAGGGCAGTGGCAGACGTGTACCCTCTCCCCACAGGTTCCGGGCCCTGACTCCCTGACGCTGGGGGAGGACAGCATCCACAGCTTGGACTTCACGTCTGAGCCCAGCCTGGACCTCCCTGACTATACACCCAGTGGCCTGCACACAGCCTGCCCTCCGTCCCCACCCCTCAGCGCCTCCGACACCTTCTCAGGGGCCTTGCGCTCCCTGAGCCTCAAGGCTGCAAGCCGGCGGGGTGGGGACCACATGGCCCTGCAGCCCCTGCACTCTGAGGGTGGGCCCCCAACACCCCATCGGGGCATCTTTGCCCCCCATGCATTGCCCAACCGCAATGGCAGCCTGTCCTATGACAGCCTGCTTACCCCTGGCTTGCCCGGCGGCCACGCGTGCCCAGCCCATCCCTCGGCCAGCGTGGCCAGCTATCGCTCACCGTACCTGCACCCTGGGGCGGTGGGTGACCCACCACGGCCTCCGCCCCGGAGCTTCAGCCCTGTGCTGGGCCCCCGGCCCAGGGAGCCCTCACCCGTGCGCTATGACAACCTGTCCAGGACCATCATGGCCTCCATCCAGGAGCGCAAGGATAGGGAGGAGCGTGAGCGGCTGCTGCGCTCTCAGGCCGACTCGCTCTTTGGCGACTCAGGCGTCTATGACGCACCAAGCTCCTACAGCCTGCAGCAGGCCACCGTGCTATCCGAGGGCCCCCGTGGCCCTGTGCTACGCTACGGCTCCAGAGATGACCTGGTGGCCGGGCCTGGCTTCGGAGGCGCCCGCAACCCTGCGCTGCAGACATCTCTGTCCTCGCTGTCGAGTGTTGTTAGCCGGGTGCCTCGGACCTCCTCCTCCTCCCTCCAGGCAGACCTGGCCAACAACAACGCCCCAGGGCCCCGGCCAGGCAGTGGCTCGCACAGGTCTCCCCTGCGCCAGGGCCCACCCTCCCCCCCCAGCACGCCCCGCTCGCCCTCCTACATGGGCCCCAAGGCCATCGCCTTCATCCACACGGACCTCCCGGAACCACCGCCCTCACTGGCTTTGCAGAGGTGGGTGCTGGGGGTGCTTCGGGCTTCCCTGAGCAAGGCAGGCATCCGGCCGCCTGTTGGCCTCTTGGCTGAGCACGCGTGGGTTGTCCAGGAGGCCTATGGCCACCTGTGGGGTGGGCCTCCCCTGACTTGGAGCCTCCTGTCACTTGAAGGGTTGCCGAGCTCCAAGGATGCTGTGGCACATCTCAGGGCATGGGAGGATTTGCATATTGAGCCAAGTGCTCCACATTTTCTCCCAGCCAGCACAGACCCATGAGTGGGGGATCCCAAGGCTTCTTCCTCAGGAGATGGTACCACTGTCCCTGCCCAGGAGGCTGAGTCCAGAGGACATCACTCCACAGCACAGTGTGCTGCCCTGGTTGGGGCACACAGCCCCTGGAAGCAGGGATTTCCCTGCTCAGAGATGAGGAAACCAGGGCTGGAGGGGCAGGCTGGTCCCAGGCCCTAAGTGGGTGGATAACTGAGGATGCCATGCTGACTTACCTGGCAGGTGAGGTCCAAGTACAAGAACTGAGCACCTGCTAAATGCAGGTCTTGTGCTGGGCTCAGGAGCATCGTCAGGGCATCACTCCAGCTACCTTGAGTGAAGGGCTCCATCAGGAGGTTGCTGCTGTGGGCAGCAGAGGCCCAGCAGATGGCAGCTACACAGAGAGGCAGGGAGGCAGCCGAGGGAGGGAGGGGCTCCTGCACTCTTGACTGTTTGGGCAGCTAGGTCATTGCTGGGCAGGCCGTGGGACAGGACGATGGTCCCTGTTTTTCATAAGAAGGAATAGGGAAGGGGCTACAGTCACCCCTGGGGTCTCCAGCCTAGGGCACCAAGATGGACAGGGCTGGGGGTTCTTCTGGCTGGTGTCCACCTGGCCTCCCTGTGCTTGTGGAATGTGCTAGTGGGAGGGACCAAGGGACCTGGGGGGTTATGACAGCCATTCTGACGTCTGCCTGTCTGTCCTGTGACAGCACAGCCCTCCCCCTGCAGGCTGTGTACCAGCACCCATTTCCTGGGTGGGACCTTTTGAGCTCAAAGGAAGGGGCCATCCAGGGCTCCGTCTGTATCATCTGTCCTGTTACCTCCACTGGCCTCTGTCCTGCCATGGTCCCGTGTTCACCGTATGTGTGCATGTATGTGCTTGTTTTGATGCAGGGACCACCCTCAGCTGAAGACCCCCCCAAGTAAGCTTAACGGGCAGTCCCCGGGCCTGGCCCGCCTAGGGCCTGCCGCTGGCCCCCCAGGGCCCTCCACGAGCCCTGCCCGGCACACACTCGTTAAGAAGGTGTCCGGTGTGGGTGGGACCACGTACGAGATCTCGGTGTGAGGACTGACTGCCACCCATCCGCCATGGCACCACAGGGACCAGGACCCCCCAGCGGCTGCCCCCCTTCCCAACTACTCTGCCACAGCAGAGGAGGCCCAGGCCTGGTGTGGACGCATCAGAAGGAGAGAGAACCACGCCTCCACAAGTCAGTCTCTCATCCTCCGCCTGTCCATCCACTTATCTGATCACCAGGGCGCAGCCGGGCCAAGGGCCGCTGGCTGCAGGATGTGTCAGTGCCCCAGCTTCCACGGGTCGAGGCCTTGAGGGGGCACCCGAGGTGGTCACCAGGCCAGCCTCCACCCACTCCCCTTACAGATGGGTCACTGTGGCCCAGAGATGGACAGAGAGGCCTGGGCCCCTGGCTGTCTTCTGGACCGAGGGCCTGCTGCCTGGCTGCTCCTGACCCGCTGCCTTTCAGGGACCTGCTGGAAGCTTTTGGCTTGGCGAGGCTGATTCTTCTGCAGGGAGTCCAGCCCTGGCCCACAGGCACCCAGCACTGGGGCTGCTCTGGGTTATGACAGACAGGTGGACAGACAGACAGACAGACAGACCGCCAGCTGTGGGTGGGGTCCTGGCTCCATGTGTCCCGTCCGGCCCAGCTGGTGGGCATGTCCCTGTGTCTGCGCTGAGCTGCCATGCCATGTCCCATGTGTTAAAGCTCGGGCCCCCGCTGCCCCCACTGCCGGGAAACTCGCTGTCATTGAAGCCTTAACCTCTGCTTTATGCTCTTGTGGGAGGTGATGGGGGCAGGTGGGACAGGCACAGGCCGGACGCTGCCACAGGGGCCTCTGAGACCCGGAGTCCCTTCCCTGCCAAACGAGATTCCCCACCCCAAGGCATGCAGAGTCGGGCCTGCCAGAGCCTTGGCACCTGCATGGGAAGCACAGGGGGAGGGGTCCAAGTTCTGCCTGGCGCCAGGGACCCGAGAGTAAGCACACAGCAGCGTCCGCTTGCGTTGTGTCTGTTTTATGTTTTTATATCTACATCTATATATCTATAATTTTATTAAAAAAAGAAAAAGAATCATTTTTATCCTTTCCTTGAGCAAGGCCATGGCTGTTGCTGCAACTCAGGGGCTCTGGGGTGGGGTCAGAGCCGCTCAGGCTCGGGAGAGGTGGTGGCCAGTGGCACGAGGTCGGACGTTCCGTGCAGGCAATTCCACTGACTTAGGCCGAGTTGGGGGCCTGGGAGGCAGGGGCTGGCCCACGGGTCTTTAGCTGATGATCATGCAGCTCCCTTGGGTCTGCGTCATCCCTGGCAGTAGCAGGGCGTTTGGAGAAAGGCTGGGGCTGCAGGGGCCCCCAGGAACCCAAGGACTTAGGGACCATGGAGTAGGGGGTACATTATGGGGCCACCCGCTGGCTGTGGGCCCCGTGGGGGCTGTCGCGATGTCCTGCAGCTTTACTTACTGAACCAGCCCCCTCTTCTGCCTGTTAAAAGTCGGGGGTGGAAGCATCAGGAATGCACACGTTTTTTGGGCTGAGACAGCTGGATAGAGATTGGAGGACTGGGACGGGCTGGCTCCAGGGCCTTGGACCCCGCACTGGGCAGCTGTACCCCATGCTGACCTCCACCTTTCTGCTTCTCTCTCATGGGACGCTGCGGCCCGCAGGGGGCGGATCGGCACTTGCAGCCGTGGATGGGGGTGGCGTGGCCCACCCAGGGTGCCCCCCGGCCTGCACCTGTGCCACCTTGGCCTCCCTGAGGACCACCCTCCGTTGAGGGTCCCCTGGAGCTCAGCGGCTGGGGTGCCCCCCCGAGGGGCTGTGTGCCGCCTACACTTAGCGGCCTCTAGCCTTTTCCCCAGACTCTCGGGGCCTGAGCGGGACACCAAGTAGGCATCTGTGGGGCCCGGGACAACCCAACCCAGGAAGACAGTCCAGGAGGCCAGGCTGCTATGAACCCTGGGGTGTGGGCTGGAGGACCCCTCTCTACCAGCCATACTTGCACTGACTCCCAGCCCGCCGGGGCCTGTGATCCTGTGTCCACCCACCTCAGGAAGTCCCCATCTGCTGCAGGGAGTCCAATACCCCAAGCAGGGGCCCCGGAGCTGCTAAGACCAGCATGGCTTCCCAGGGTGTCACGCCATCACCCCACCTTCCTGCCTGACCGAGCACTTTAGATGCCACTTTCTCCCCAGGGAATCCAGGCCTCTGCGGTTGGGCTGGGATGGGAGACTCAGGTTGCCCCTGCAGGTCACTGCACTCCCCCGCTCCCCAAACCCAGCATATGAACAGATAGATGCCTTAACCTCTTGGAGCCACCAGCCCATTGAGCTGTCCAGGCCCCGCCAGGGTAGGGAGAGACCTGGCCGCCCAGGGTGGTTCGCCGGCTCTGCCCGGGCCTTGCCCAGGCAGTCTTCACTCCTTCACTCTGAGATGTCCGCTTGGGGAGCTCTAGGCCCTGCTGCCCACAGCCCTGCATTCTCCAGCCAGTTGGGCCTGGCCACCCCCAGCAGCTCTCTTTCTCCCATTTGGGGGTGAACAAGCCACAAAGCTATTCTCTATGTTCTAAAAGGTATTCCTTGCCCCAATTTAATATCCTAAATAAAAGTTTTGGTGTTTACCTCCATGGCTCTGTACACCAACATGGTCCCCTCTCCTCCGAGCCTTGGGACAATGCTGGGAGGCTGGACTGGACAGGGACTCGGGATGGGGAGGGATGTGAGTGGGGGGTGAGGGTGGGGAAGGGCGGGGATGGTGGCCAGGTGGGTGTGGGGAGGGTAAGGTGGTCTGCCAGATGGAGACAGTGTGTTATGTGAGGGGTATGAGGCCAGAGGGTCAGCAGATTTGGGATGAGAACATGACCCCTGACGAGGGAAGAAGCCTGAGGATCCCCGGTTCTCACTGTCAGTGGGTACTATCCCATGACACCTGCTCAGAGCCCTCCTGGTTAGCTGGGACAGGCTGGGGGCTTTTCGTGGAGGGGCTGCCATCCAGTGGGCTGACGGGGCATGAGGGCCAAGGTGGGGTTGCCATCCCAAAGGACCGCCCCCCACCCCCACTGCGAGATCAGCCTTAGGATGCAGCAAAGACTTCTGCCCCATTTCCATGGAAACAAGCTCACACACTGTGTGTGTCACCACTATATGTCCAGCCGCAGGCCCAGCCCTCAGGATAGACCCCGCCTCCACCCTTCTCCGTGGCTCCTGGCAGGAAAGGTGCTCGGCAGTGCCGTGGATAGGGGCAGGCGCGGCCGCTGGGCACCTGGGGCCACGTTGGCCGCCTGGCTTCCTCCTCGCTGGGGCCGCTGGGCCTCCGGCCTAGAAGGGCAGGAAGTCGTCCACCTCGAGGCGCAGGAACGGGCCCAGCAGGGCCCGGAGCTTCCAGACAGCGGCGCGGCTCAGCAGGGGCGGCACCAGCCCCTCGAAGGGTGCAGGGTCCACCACGTACACGTATGCGGCGGTGCAGGCCAGCAGGGCGCCCAGCAGCAGCCTCAGGGCCAGCAGCCTGCGGGCGGTGGTGGTCAGGGGGCGGGGGGTGCCCTCGGGACGGTCCCGGGGGACTGGGCTCTGCCCGCATGCTCTCGCAGCCACCTACCAGAGCTGGCTTTTGAGACCCTCGGAACATTCCAGCTGTGGCCTTGCCTTCTGTGGGGGAGGGGTGGGTCAGAGCCTGCCCCGGGCAGGTGTCCTGGCTCTGCACGTTCCAGCTCCCCCTGCCTAGGACCGGTCACCTGGCTCCTGGTGGGGCTCCCGCCCTGGGGCCTCCTTCACTAAAGTCTGCCTCTTCCCTCCCCACGTAGGGCCTGGGAGACTGGGAGAGGGGTAGAGGCTTACCGCTTCGCATGCTGTCTGCTGCTCCTTCCTGGCCTGGGTGCGGCACTGGGCGCGATCCCTGGGGGGAGGGTGACACAGTCAGGGCCACAGGAAGGAGGTGACCAGCTCCCTGCCCCAGCCCAGCACCACTTCTGGTCTGGTGCCACGGAACTGGGGCGGGATTAGGGATTGGTATGCCCCATTTTGACCAGGACATCCGCCCCATCCCAGCTCAGCCAGCCAGACCCCCAAACCTGACCCCGAACATCACCCCAGAATCTCCAGCTGAATGTCTTCCATCTGGTCTAGCACTCCCCGTATGTCCTTCTTGAGGTTCTGGGAGGCAAAGGAGGTAAAGGGTCCTCCACCCCGACTGGCCTGCTCCCCACTCCCTAACTCCACCGAGTTCCTGCCTCCCCCTTTTCAATATTGCCCTTCTAGGACCTACCAGGAGCCCAGTGGCCTGGTTGTTCAGGGCCGTGTGCACCTCGGCAACACCGTCCCACACCTGATGGGGGGAAGGCTGGGTCATGCCTAGGAAATATGCCCCACCACAAGGGTCCCCTAGAGGCTCCCCCACCCCAGGCAGATGGGCATCCACCTCGGTAATGGCCATCTTCTTCCTCTCGAAGGACAATCGGATCTGCTGCAGCTCGTTCTGGGAGAGGGGCAGAGTGTGGGCATGGGCAGGGCCAGGGGCTGGTCACCTCCTCCCTCCTCCATCCACCTGGGACTGCTACACGAAGGACCCCTGCCCCGCAAGCCCCGGCCCGGCTCTGGGTGCCCACCTGGGACTGCTGCACGAAGGACTCTTCCCCCTGGCACACCTCCTGCCGTAGAAGCTGCAAAGGTGCCCTGTCCTCCAGTGGCCGGGTACCGACCTGCTCAGGGGACTGCGGAAGGGCCCCTGGGTCAGTCCCAAGGTGATGGGCAGCATCGTTGGTCCTGGACTACTTGGGAGGGGGCGTGGGGGGTGTGGTGCGTGAAGTCGCAGGGTCATTCCTGACAGCCGCCTGAGGTCTTGCTGGGGCCGGGCTGCAGCCTTGCACTTACCCAGGCCAGGGTTGTGCAGCTTGAGTGTTCCTGGCACAGGGGCAGGAACTGCTGCCCTGGCCCCAGAAGGGCCCCCAGCTGCTCCCGCAGGTCCTGGTTCTGCCTTTTCTGGGGGTGGGGGTGGGGCAGAGAGAAAGGACCGCCTGTCACAGCTGCTTCTTGGGCAAGATACTGAGGCAGCCAGGGCTGGGGCAGGGGCTTCAGGGCAGAGGAAAAGGGGGGTGGGGCTTGGGAAGTCCAGGAACAGCTGCGAGCCCATTCTACAGACTGGTGGAGAGCCTGGGTGCAGGTCCGGCAGTAGGCGCCTAACTTACCAGATTCTGGTTCTCCTGCTCTAGTTGGAGAAAGGACTGTTCTGCAGGCCCCAGGGGTACGCTCTGGAGCTGGGAGGGGGCTGCCCTGAGTGAGGTCGGGGTTCCTGCTCCTGGTGGGCACGGGCAGGGTCTGGGCCCTGAGCCGGAGGCTCCCCGCTGCCTGGGTGCCCCCTGCTCTCTTCCTGAGTGCAGGGACCAGCCCCACCCCGGGCCTGCCTCCATCTGCCCTTGTCTCACGCCTACTGGGTCTCTCTGTCTCTGTCGCTGCATTTCTCCCTCTTCGTTTGCAATAAAGCTCCCGGGTACCTCAGTTCCTACCCTGGGCCCCACACCCCCTGCCCCCGAGGCTGGAAAAGCCCTGGTTGACTCCACTGAGTGCGTGGAGCTGAGAGGCACCAGGCAGGGCCACCTTACGAACCCCTGGCATGGTGGGTCTAGGCACCCTCCGTGGCCACCTGAAGTTGAGGGTTGGGGGCACGGGGGGTGGGAGTGGCCACAAGTTCCCAGGGTTTTGGGCCCCTCCATACCTCCCTGTAACCCCTTCCTAACCCCAGGTCCAGGCTCTGGTCTGGCCTGACCTGCCGCCCTCTTACTGAAGGCCCTTCGGGTGTCATGGTTCACAGGTCCGACTCAGGGGCACCTGTCACAAAGGCCTGGGCACCACCGGGGAGGTCATAATGGACCCGGGTGGTGGCTGGAGCAGGGCTGGTGGGGCCCCTCTCCACCCCACCCACCTCACGCGCCTTAGCTATTTTCTTAAAATGTCAAACACCTAATGCAGACACACGGTTAAAGCAAAATTAAACAACGAGATGTCCAGTGTGATCCTCCCTCCCTCGTCGGTCCTCCCCTCCCAGCTCCCCCGTTAGCTGGTCATTAAGATCCTTCTGGGATGAGCA